TCATGGTTAAATGAACCCTTCCTTGAAACTATCTATGTAGAAGGTAGAACAGATAGCCATTTCTTTTTTTCGTTTATTAAATTCTGATAGTAAAAGCAGTTCGACACAATGATGCAGAAGAAATCATTGATCTATAGTTTCGGACAAATGGTTATAACGTAGCACAATCTATTTAACAGTTAAAGGTGACGATCTCATTTATCGGTAGCATATGCCATATACACAACCAATTAAAAATACAAGCCCCGTTGGGCGAAGCTATATTAATTGATCTGAACAGTAGATAAGAAAGCAAATGACTCTGATCATATAGAAATTCTGGGCTTGTCAAAATTGTGCAGGAGAATAGCTTTAAAAATTTCGACAATTACATAATCGATTTCATCTTGAGCTAGATCTTCTCTCAATCCAGAAATGATCACTGGATTAACAGAACACTGATCATTTTGTATTTTATTAACTGCAGGCAATAACGCAATGTACATCGCTTGATTTTATCGTATGCGCATTTATGAAAATTCTGGCCCTATGATATTAATGGGGACACCAAAGGTAGGTGGAATAAAAAGTGGCAATTTCTAGACTGTTCTAAATTCGTGAGCAAAATTACATGGCTTGATGCACATTGATGACCATACAATGCAATAAGAGAACGTGTTACGTACAGTATAAGTATGTGCAAAAAAAAAAAAATGTTACCGAAACGAAATCATTCTGATGCAAATGCTTACGTTTTATATTAAGATAATACATATAAAAATACAGTTTATAGCAATACTTTGTTGTAGTTATGCCATATAATAAACTAGTAAATCAATCGAAGCTAAAATCAAATCATCAAAAGATTTTAGTCGGTTCTAAAAAATCCTCACTAAGAATTTCTTTATAATTTTTCCAGAGCCATTCTAGTGCTTCTCCAGATGTTGGTCTATCATATTCGTCATTCGCCATTAATTGAGTTACTACGTAATCTTTTAATTTGTCAGGTTCTCCAAGTTTTACCGAAGCTGTCTGAATCAAGTACCCTACAGACCAAACATCGACACTGTCATCATGATAACTTTGAGAAACCTCGGGTGCATGACTCTCTTTAGCCAATTGCGTATTTGGAACACGTGAAGGAAATTTACACGCGTCTTCAAAATCAATTATAAACCACTTCTCGCTATCGATATATTTCATCACGTTTTCCCAGCGGAGGTCACGGTGCATGATATTCATTTTGTGAAGAGACTGTGAATGTATAATTTTTGTTAACAAAATCTCTGGGGTAAAAGGATAATAGATTATGATAGATACCTTAATTGCGGTCAAAACACAGTATATAGCCTTAATTAATTCATTAATCGTTCGTGGTTTATATAGTACGCCCCTTGGTGTAAAAATAATATACGGAATGGTTCCTTCGGTCACGTTGTGTTGCAAAACGGAATCAATATATGGAACTGCGTGTTCCGCCATTTCATGATAAAGTTCCACAATATTTAAAACAAGATCCGGTGTGGAGTAATATTTTACGACACTATCATGTTTTAATTGAATCACTTTACTCGATCTAGATCGGTAGAGTACATCGAATTCTTCTTGAAATGATTCTGGTATATTTTGCCTGAGTAAAGGTAATATAGTCGGCCAATGTTCCTGCCTATGTTAAAAGCTTGTATACGCCCTTCCATCTTATCCAGCGAGCAGGTAATCAAATCTTTCCGTTCAGTTTTATTTATTCCAGAATACAAATAGCAATATGTAACTTTAGTGGCAATTGCATAGTATCCGAAGATATAAGGGCAATCACCATACGTCCATTTCATTTTTGAGGTTAGCTCCTTTGCTGGATCTTCGGAATTTTCTGGGCCTTTCTCCTCCCCTCTTACGAGACAGGCGCCTGATATTAAACACGAGGTGTCAGGTCGACATAACCCTGTAGATTTATATTTTGAGGTGTTTCGGTTGTAGACTGCCTCCGGGCATCCAATAAGCATTGGTTTAATAATGAGCGCGTCCCAGAACGCATGATACGAATCTTCTGTAGTACCGGTTACGGGTGGACGAGCGATATCAACAATACATTGATCCCATACTCTCATGGAAGCATTACATGAGCTCACGAAGAAATTGTTCAAAATCTCTTGAGGGAGTTCTGA